AGGACATCTTATAATTGACCTATCGGCTCCTCATTCCAAACTCACTCCGAGTATCAACTCACTTATCCCTGCAGAAGAATTCTCCCTCCACTATGCGTCTTAGGATAACGCCATACAGGCCATCTTGCATGAGGGCAAACACGCATTTAAGCTACTTCCAATCCACCCATCACTTTGGCATATTCACGGCGTAAAGTGGAGTGATAATTATTATTTTTCAACCAGGCTCACATTTGGTTGCAGGAGCAGCCTGAAATTGTTTGACACATTTGCAGAAACACTCTGCTGGCTGCTCCTTAATGTCATCAGATGTCCCATGGTGATTCACTATCTGGATGACTTTCTTTTAGTAGAAGTTGGGTTTCACGAGCCACGTGGTATCCTCAGCACTATGACTCTTTTTCACTCTTTGGGTATCCCCCTCTCACCTGACAAAGCTTTAGGCCCCACAACCAGATTGTTGTTCCAGGTATCACTTGGGACAATGAAGGCGTTGCAGGCAAACCTTCCGTATGATAAACTTAAGCGCATTATCATTTCCTGAGGCTTGGTTTGTGTACCCAGGGAGAACCACAGTCCTTAATGGGGTCCCTTAATTTTGCTATGTGTATCATTCCGCAGGGAATGGCGTTCATTTCCAGATTGCTTTGCCTCCTACCTGGCTTGTCTGATGGTGGCACTGTCCTCCTCAATCCACCTGCTAGGTCAGATTTATGCACGTGGTACAATTTTCTCCTCAATTGGAATGGCATATCCATGTTAGTCGCCCCACTATCACAACACTCCCCAGTGATCATGACCGATGCTGCCGACCACACGGGTTTTGCTGCCATTTTTGGCAGTCATTGGTTCAGAGACATTTGGCCCACAGAGGCATTCTCCTTGCAGGCTTTCAAGGAGACTTCCCCCCTGTTTGTGATTTACCTTGTTGTGGCTGGGGTCATCTCTGGGCAGGGAAGGTGGTCAGATGTCTCTGTGATTACATCGAGGCTTGTGAATTAGTCAACAAGGGGTGTTCCTCCTCGTTAACTATTATGAGACTGATCCATAAGTTAACTTGGCTTGCTGCCACATTCCAATTTTATTTACACTGTGAGCACATACCAGATACAGCCAACACAACTGCTGACACCCTGTCACGTTCTCCATCTTGGAACAGACAAGCTCCTATTGAGAACGCCTCTATTCAGGAAGAAAATGAAAGATAACTGAGGGTGCACAATAATTTAACAGTATTAAATGGTATACTTAAATGTGAGGAACCTCTTGATCTGAAACAAATAACACAACAAAATCATAGCATAATACTTTTATATGTATATTTAAGATCTATTACAGAGGTATTGGGCCACTCACACTTTCCAGAGCCACACCAAGCAGGCTCTGGCTTAGATAGCAGTTGAATAATCAATCTCTTTGTAAATGCCCAAAGAAGAATAACAGGATCCAGAGTCAAAAATAAAATAAACTTTACTGGATATAATACATAAAATAAAATAAAAGAGCATACAGCATAAGCCAACTGCAAAATAGTACAAGAAGGCAGTCCACTGGCACTGACGCATTTCGGCCTTCAGGTCTTCCTCAAAGTGCATGGTGGATCTCCTCTCCCGATGCCTTATATCATTGTGCCGTTTACCGGCGTCTTGCGATCACTTCCGGGTTCGTGAACTTCTGGTCACGTGACGTACGTCTGTGCGTCGTTGTGGTACTTCCGGGTTTCACCGGATTTACAATTAATGACAGCTTTGTCTAAACAAAGTACTTTGCCATTTTGGAATAGGGCAACAATGTCCACAACACAAATACATCATATATAAATATACATGACAGTAAAAACATAATAAATAATAAACCTTGTGCATATCAATGTAACAGTGGGTTCCATTCTTTATATAGTATCTTAAAAAAGGAAGAATGAGAAAATTAGTAAAAACGAATAAAAATATATTGCACTATCATTCTAAATAATATTCCTGCATCTTCAGTAATAGGAGAGATAGTTATACATAACATAAATATTAGAGGGAATTCTGTATGTACCATCCCTGTTAAAACACAAAAAGAAAACATAAAAAAAGGATTATATACAAAGGGAGAATATATAATAAAAAATATAATAAAAAAATAATGTATATAATCAAAAAGGGACTATAAAATGCCAAGTATCTTTTTTAAAAAAACGTTATTTTTTATTTTTTTTTAAAAGTGGGGATAAAAAACGGGTGGTAATATATGTAAAAAATAAATATATATACAAGGGGAATCAGGGCAGGGGACGACTGCACAATCGATTAAATAAGTGCCGACTTCTCAAAGTCGACAATGAGACCACTGGGAGAGCGAGTATCCATGTTAAATATCCATGTCATCTCACAGCGGCTCAATTTCGACTCAGATCAAGAGTATACCATTTAATATTGTTATATTATTGTGCACCCTCCACTATCTTTCATTTTCTTTCTAAACACTTAAGTGCCTTTTAAGTGATTTTAGGCACTGGGGGTAGTTGCATTTTATCTTTGTACATCACTGCGCCAATCCACCTCTATTTTATCCGGTTTGGAACTTCAGGACTTGTGGAACATCGATATCATGCATAGGAGGAAAAAAGATAAATAATAGTGCACAGTATCCAAGTAAAAAATGACACACTTTATTAATAGATACACTTACAAAATAGAAGTGTCAAGTAGGCACATCAAGCTCAGATGGAGAAAACACGAATCCCAGTATCAGGGTCCAGTGGAGCAGGAAAGCCAAATAAACAATAAAATAAAATCAAGAATAAATGAATAAAAAATATATAAAATGCTCTAGGCAATAGAGGACATAAGCCCTACGCGTTTCGTTCAATAGTGAACTTCCTCAGGGAAATCTAACGGAATACTGTCCATATGCACAGTCCTGAAGTTCATACATCATTATATCTGATGTGCCTTCAATCAAACTGTTTTTTGTGAGTGCAATCAGTTATATTTATAATTTCTATTTTGCAACAGTATTGCGCTATGTCCGTCTTTATTACTTTTGTATTGTAGATAGCCATTTTTTGGCACTTGGTTATTATTGTCTTGAGGCTATAAGAGGAATCCTTTCATCTACAATACAATTAATTAAGGGTAATTTATGTGTCTTTTCACTTAATACCCACTAAGTGTGTTTTTCTATCTGCACAAAGGTGCATTTATACTTCTTTGTTGTATACTGACCAAAAACGAATTATGCATATTACGATTATGTTTCCGCCCACAAGTTTGAAGGCCAGAAGCCTGTATTTGTGGGAGGAGTATGACCCTATAAAAACCCCACTCTCCCTCTTACCTGGGCCTTTCCCATACAGGTCATCCCACCCATCTCACCACTTATAAATTATAATACAATTATCTCCTTGGTTGGCCCTCTTAATTACAGGCCTACCCGTACGTTGGTTTGGCACACCTCAACCAACTTTGTCCAAATACGAATTATGCATATCATGATTATGTTTCCAACCACAAATATATGTATATATATATATATATATATATATATATATATATATATATATATTTGTGGTCAGAAAAATATATAATTACATTGATCAGCCACAACAATTAAACCTCCTGCATAATATACTGTAGGTCACACTTATACTGCCAAAAAAGCTCCAGCGCATTGACGCATGTATTCCACAAGAACTCTGAATGTGTCCTGTGGTATCTGGCACCAAGACATTAGCAGCAGATCCTTTACATCCTGCAGATTGCAAGGTGGGGCCTCCAGGGATTAGATTTGTTATGCCAGCACATCCCACAGATGAGATCTGGGGAATTTAGAGGTCGAGGCAACACCTTGAACTCCTTGTCAAGTTTCTCAAACCATTCATGAAAAATGTTGCAGGGTGCATCTCTGCAGTGTGCATCATCCTTCGGAGAGAGGTCACTGCCACCAGGGAACACCATTACCATGAAGGGGTGTACGTGGTCTGCAACAATTTCTAGGTAGGTGGTACGTGTCAAAGTAACATCTGCATAAATACCAGGGCCCAAGTTTTCCCAGAAGAACATTGCCTGAGCATAACACTGCTTCTGCTGGACTGTCTTTTTTCCATAAGACATCTTGCTTCCATCTCTCCTCTAGATAAGCGATATACACGCTCCAAACCATCTACCAGATCTAAAAGAAAACATGATTTATCTGACCAGGCAGCCTTCTTCCATTGCTTCATGGTCTAATGGTTCGGATGCTCACATCCCCACTGAAGGGACTTCAGGTGGTGGACAGGGGTTATTATGAACACTCTGACCAGTCGGCAGCTATACAGTGCCATATGCAGCAATGTGTTGCACTATGTGTTCTGATATCTATCTATCATGACAAAATATGAAGTGTAGGTGCTCACTATATCTTAAAAGATGGGTGAAGGCAGCAGATAATCACACAAGATTTCCCCAGCCTTGTGAAAGTTAGAATACAACAGAAAGGAAAGAGATAAAGAGATAAATGTAACCACAGGCTCGGATTATCTCTTTCCTTTCTGTTGTAATCTATCTATCATGGGCAGCATTATGTATTTCAGCAATTTGAGCAACAACAACTCTTTTGAGTGATCAGACCAGATAGGCTCGCCTTCCTCCCCATGACCATTATGCCAGTTCACTTTCTCCACTTTTGGTAGGTACTAGCCATAATGGGAACACACAAGACTGTTTTGGAGATGCTCTGACCCAGTTATCAAGATCTTAGTGACTTTGACAAAGGCCAAATAGTGATATTTGGCCTTTGTCAAAGTCAGTAAGATCTTTTCTCTTGCCTATTTTTCCTACTTCCAACACAATAAATTCATGAACTGACTGTCCACATGCTGCCTAATATATCTTATCCCTTGTCAGGTGCCATTGCAACAATATAATCAATGTTAATCACTTCACTTATATATAATTATATTACAACACTGCTGATGTGAAGAGTATGCAGAATAAATAACAGTTCAGGCACTCTGGGAGAACAGAAATAGCAGCTTTATTGGGGCAAAAGCAGCAACGTTTTGACCCTACAGGCTTGATAAAGACCTGGTAGATTCAAAACGTTGTTGCTTTTGCCCCAATAAAGCTGCTATTTCTGTTATCTTAGAATGCCTGAACCATTTTTTATTCTGCTTATCCTGGAACAGAGGCCTTGCCAGCCCTGGCTTCAGAGCACCTGGATTATTTGGTGAGTGCAGTATCCAGTTTGTCTCTACTACTGATGCGAAGAGTATGCCAGATTCCACCCTTGTCTGCTACAGTGGATAAAGGTGCACCAATACTGGATAGTGATAGATTGAAATAAATGTTGCCTGATCTGATGAATGTTGATGAAATAGCATTTAGACAGCAGGATCAGATTTTGGCAATGCTATCATTACAACATGGACAATACCTTTTAAGAAATTGGTGTGGCATATTGTTCCATGCTACAAAGATGCCATTTGGAGAGCTAAAAAAGGCCCAGGTCCAACTATTAAAGTTTGCACTATATGTACATTCAGTGCATTGATGTTAAATTTTTCCTGTTGCTTGCAATAAAAAGATGACGTGAGAATTCTTTTTTTTAATATACCTTGTTTTGAGCACTTAACTCCATAATACACTTTTATTTATATGAAATATACACAAACCTCTAAATTAAGAAACTGCATGACAATATTTTTAGCAATTTTATCTTGAACAACATTTATGTATCTGATGTTAATATTCTTAATATCTATCTAGAGGTACGCTATTTTAGCCCTTTGTACAAACACTTTTAGTATGTTAATATTCTGGGACAAGTATGAAGGCTCCAAAATGTTGGTGTCAACATAAAGTGGACATTGGTCCCACTCTGAGTTACATAATATATATTCATTCCACATTCAACCAAAATAAGTAATACATTGAAATTAAAAGTTGAATTATTCTGCATTAAAAGTAATGAATAACTATATACTAGTTGTATTTGCTTAGAGACTGATTTTTACGAACAGTAGATAATACTTTTCTTATAATAACTAAAAGCAAGGTTTCTTTAAGTTCTAAGATCATTTTCTTTTTACAATGTCATAGAATAATATCAATATTGGTTTGCATTGTATAAGGCATACAGAAGATATAGTCTGAAGAATAGAATCACTTTCTATCTACAAGGAAAGACACTCTATTTCCGAAGCAGATCCTTTCAACTCATAAAAGTTCAATTTTCTACAGTGTAATAGGCTGCATTCTACAGGCTGGAAACAAATAAAACTAATAACTGACAATGACTGTCGGTCCCTTAGTGACGGGCAAGAAAATGTCATGTTTGTTCTGCAATAGAAGGGAGGGAAATCAACAAAGCAGTGACCATTTGTTTTGAAGTTTTGTATCTACAATTTCATTAATCGGTATTAAAAAATACAGGGAAACTTTGTAAGATTGGAAACATAGTTTGAGTCATGTGGTATCAATCCCACTTTGGGTAGTTTGTAAAATTAAGTTGGTATGTTTTGTATCATATAACATTAGAAATTAGTAGGAATACCCTTTCCTCCATTGGTACATCAAAGTAATGAAAATAAGGGCACAAATATCCTCCATATGACGAGACTGATATAGTATAGCTCAGGGGTACGCAACCTTCTAGCAGCACTGTGTCGAAATAGGATTGTGATGTCCCGTAGCGTGCCGGTCCTATTTTTAATTTAAATTGAGGTGTGCCTGTTGCCATATTCTGCTTGTGTATTTTTGTACCGCAGTTGCTTTGTATTGATATATTTGTGGGTATATGAGCTTTTATATTGTATATGTTCATGAGTAGTTTATGGTATCGTGTAAAATACATATGAATGTGGGCTGTGTAGAGGGGCTTCTTGTGAAATTGTGTGTGCGGATGGATTTGTCACATGGTGTGTTTGGTAGTGTGTGTATGTGTCTGGCTGTTTGGGGTATTGCATGTGAGACACTGCATGTGGGGTTGTATGCATGTATGTGGATTGTTAGTGGTGTTGAGTTTGTGGGGATTGTGTTTATGTTTGGGTTGTTCATATTATTTGTGTGCGGGGAGGGTTATTCTGCATTCTGCATGTATATCTAGCAGTCTGGGTTCCAGTGGGTTCCAGTGGATCAGGCTGGCCAGGTACAGGTTGAGAACAGGAGCTGCAACTGCAGCTATGGGCTTCTTTACTACAGTGTGGATTCCCAATCACATGTGCTGGGATGCAGACGTGCTGCAATGCATAAATTGAGAATTCTCCTTCACCACCTTTTTGTATTAGCAGATATCTGAAGTTTCACTGGTACTCCTGATAGGTCAGAGCCTGTTTGGCTCTAGCAGCCTTGAGTGCCATGCAAAGACACCTGAAGTGCTATGCATAGCAAGCGTGCCATAGGTTGCCTAACCCTGGTATAGCTAATATGTTAAATGCCTTTTGAGAATCATTAACTGAATGATAGCCAGAGGACAGGTCTCAGAAAGAGCTAAATGTAGCAGATGACCATGAGGTCTCAGAAAAAAAAAGCTAAATGTAGAAGAAGACCATATGGTGTGATCGGTCTACAACTTTGTCAAATTTGAGTACCTACCATGATTTTTTTTCTCCAGTTATTTAAAAAGTAGACATGTGGCTACTTTCAGGCATGTGTTGCCATGGCAACTGAATGCAATATGTTCCCATATGAAGCAATATTGTATCCACTTTAAAAAAAAAAAAAAAAAATGTAATTCTTTATTTTTGTTGTGCATGAAAAGAACATAGCTGAGCTTGCAATGCCCCAACAGCATGTGCAAGTACAAGAATAAACATAGCATAACAGTTAGTCAACATTGTGAGGAGACTACGCATTTTAGAGGTATATATGTAGAGTAATAAAGACATTTTCAAAAAAGTCAGAAATATATTTGAGTAAATTACATAAAAGTAGCTTATAATGTCGTGGATTAACAGGCTAGACATGCATGTCAGTGCAACTCTTTCAGCCACAGCATAGATGTATGATAAGGAGAGTATGGTGTAAGTGCAGACATGGCAGTGTGAGACAAACTAAGATTACATGGCCACATACGTAGCTCAAATTAAACTGCTCATTCTATCAATGCTGCAAGACATGGTGGGAGTCATATGTGAGATATAGTGATCAGGCTAGATAAGCATGTCAATACATAAATTGAGATATAGGTAGGTAAAGAACTAAGGCTCAAAACGGAGACTCAGTGTAAAGAAGCCTTGCTGCACTGTACATATATACTGGCCAGATCCTGGACAGATACTCATGTAACATGTCTTAATAAAGTGTATATAACATGCTAGCAATATATATGTACATGTACTGCTGGATTTTAAGAAATTAAATGTGTCATCTAAACTCTACAGTGCTGGAAACTACAAGGGTGTCCTTTATTCAGCCGTTATTCAGTCAACACCACATACAGGCCACAGTATAGAGTTCTTTGCCTAATCAGACACCAGGCAGCCTCCTGCCCCCACGGAACCCAGTTGGTGACCATTGGTCATCTTGCACCATATCGTTGTGGTAGCACCGATCTTCGAGCCACAGCCCTGTATCCATAAGTCCCTCTGCTTTGCGGGGTAGGATCATGGGCCCGCTGGGGCTCCGATGCCTAGAGACCCCTCCGGGTGTGTGGACGGTGGGTTGGACGTGATACCGAAAGGACCCCCAGCCCAGAAGAAGAAAGGGCAGTCCTAGCCATGATACGGGTCGAGACTTGGTAGGAGGGGGGAGGCCCAGAGGCCCAACACAGCCACACTGGGTCCCCTGCTCTACAGCCATTATTCTCACGTCCCGGTGGTGCCACGGTGAGTCAGGTCTCTGCTTCCTTGTTGCAGGGCCTTGCAGTCGACATGCCAGTTTGCACCAGAAGTCTGCAAATATTGCATCTAACCTGCTGGAGAAGTCAGCTTGTGAGGATGAAAATTCTTGGAGTGCTCTCATGGCTGTGAGGGCTGTGGTGTGGTTGCCATCTTAGGTGCGCCTTGTGGTTGCGTGAGTTTCTTCTTCGATTGAGAGGTGAGTATCGTCAGCAGGGACTGGGATAACCCTCTCCGGTCCAGAGGAGGGTGACGGGGCTGCAAAGTTTCCTCTGGCTGAAGCGTGGCCCGATCTGGGGGAGGGGCTGTCTCCCCCGACATCCGGCTGTAAGTAAGGCCTCATGGCAGGGCTATGCAGTCCACTGGTGCAGCTGAACAAGTCGGGTATCCCCGTAAGCCCACTCAATAACCAGTCACCGGTCAGTTAGAGCTGTTTCTGATGTGGGTAAAAGCAGTGAAAACTCTTTCTAGACCTGCATGAGCTGGAGATGAGAGAATGCACGGCTGGCCATCTTGGCTGTCATGGCCCCTCCCCATATCCCTCCCTATATTGCGTCCACTTTAACTGTTGGAGAGTGAATTAGATACTCTTGGAATGCTGGTAAAAAAGAGTCATCTTGTCCATTTCTAAATGAATTTATATATTTGATAGGTTAAATAAATATATATTTTGAATTATCACTAATATCTCCAATGTTTAATGCCATCTATGTGAACCTTTTAAAAAAGATAATTTTGTGGACTTAATATGTGTTAAATAAATGGCCCATATACTGCATACCTTCTCAATGATTAAATAAATAAATAAATATATTACTGAACTTAATAAAGTAAAGAATTTGCATTGCCAGCAAGTATTTAGAACCCCCATTGAGCTATTAATTATATTGCTTTTTAGACCTTGATATAGACAGTTTATTTCCTATTTAATACACAAAAGCTTAGTGAGATTATTTTTCTTTTATGCTAAATTGCTGCATTAGATCTTGTGCTCATTCAGCAAGAGTGTGTTGCGTAAATGCATATATTAAAACGGGTAGTTTCTCACACAATTTATTTAATTGTAGCTATAAATCAGATATGTGATGCTTCCTTCCAATTACAATTTTATTTTAGGTGTACAATTGCTCTCTTTTATAATAAACATCCCATCAATTGGTGCTGCTAACATTAAAGAAGACTGCAAAATCAAAGACAGGAAAAGCTGCTTCAGCAATGCATTCAGGTAAAGGTTAGTTTAGTGTTTGGCAGAGTTAAACTGCCAGGAATCGCCCCTGGGGCATCTCACTT